AAATACTGGGGTGTCCCCGTGAGTCTGAAAGGGGCGTTGGGTGCCCCTGGGAGGCTGTCAGGCTGGAGTCCGGTGGGCTGGAAGTGGGCTGCCCGGCCTCGCCGCGGCCTTCACCCATTCATCTCTCGTTTCAGGAGACGGTCGTCAGTTTGGGAACCCAGACTCCTTGACTCGACCCCCTATAAAAGCAAGTAGGTCGGCAGGTAGGTTTTAACCCTGAGAGGTTACTATGCGCAGTGCTGCTGAAATGCACAAGACGGGAGAAAATGGTGGATATTGGGTCTTGGCGCCTTTGCAGGTTTTACGGTGGTGCTGGCATACAGGTGAGGAAATTCTGCTGCGGTTTTTGTTCCATACATAAGGGACAGGGAGCCCTTCTCTGCCTTCCAAAAGGATTGGTGTGTGTGGAGCACGCTGAAGCCCTTAAGTGGCTGTTTTACCTACTGCATCGCTTGGAGGAGTATTTTGTCACAGCATTAAAATGGTGACTAGCTGATTTTACCAACGCTACTGGGTTTTTAAAGGCCGAATTTAAATAAAGCACCTTGAGCTCCAAAAACAGATCATTGCTCCAGACAGTGAGCAGTGTTGCTTTTGAGGAGCTGCGTCGTTGCGGCTTGCCTGACCTTTCTCTGATGCACCAAGCATGCATTGGTATTTGCTCTTGGATGCTGTTGTGTTAGCTCTGTGCAGCACCTTCTTGTTCTTTAGTTGATGAAAAATGTATTCTCAAAACTTCAGAGCAGTGCTAACTGTGTAATACAGTCACGTGGCTTTAGCCTGTCATTCCATCAGAAAACTGTGAGGAAATTTTCTGTATTTCCTTCCCCTTTAGACTGTTGGTCTGAGTTGGACTGTATACGTTTTTAGTATGTGGCAGTTCTCACGTGGGTGGGCTGGGCTAGCCTGAGACTATTCTCCGTTCCCATCAGTATTCTTGGTATTCTTGTGACAGGGCTGTCACCCTGCTGTTACAGCTGCAGTGCATGGCCCTAATTATGTAGCATTGCCCTTAAAAAGGGCGGCCAATATTATGCTTCAGAAGCAGAATTTCCCAGAGGTGTGGAAAAATCTTATCTTGAGGGACGAAGAGCGAGGTTATGAGTATTTCCCTGGGAAAGTACAAAGGTTTATCTGTGGAAAAAGCTGTGGGAAGCTGTTACTCCTAAAGGGTGGCTAACAGGGTATTAACATGCTTAGTATTTTATGTGTGGCTGGGCTGCTTTAGGAGGTACAGCTGAGGGTTTTTTTGTTAACATAGATGTCTCTAAAATTGAGGTTGGAGGCAGACATGCCTTCCCCCTACCTCCCCAAGCTCTTAACAGTGGTATCTGATTATAGTCGCTACAGGCATAAAAGTACAATGTTAAGAGACACTAATGCTTTACATGGGAGCAAAGGAGTAATTTCCTCCCATCCGTAGTTATACATTATTGGGTTTTTTTTCTGCAGAGTTTAGGGCAGACCAGGGGGAATGCAGGGTCTGTGAGGCAGCGGGACAAACAGGGTGGATTTTTATAAGGATGTAATTGTCATGCTTCCCTGAAAGCAGAATGGAGGCAAAACCACAACTTGAGAAACTGGTTTCTGGTTTCTGCTTAGAGGTTTTAAATATAGATTAAGAAACTTGCTTCTAGCACTAGAAAGGTTTAAGAGCCTACAAGCCCTGCCTCAAATCAGGCATCTTCTAGATCAATGAGCTAAAGCAGTTTCCACTGAAATTGTCTTAAAATACATAAGTAGAGTGAAGGACTGTACGGGTTAAAGTTAGGCGCTAGGTGTTTTTGGCACTCGAGTTTGTGCTGTCTGTAGTTGCTGTGGCACATTGCAGCAAATGTGTCGCAGGCTTATCTCTGTGTTGAAAAAGGTTGAACCCGCAGGGGTAGATATGTACCAGATTTAAAAGAACAAGTTCCACCATGTTAAAATAGTGGCTTTGTATTTTGGTTTATAAACCGGTAGTTTATGAACTCACAGATTTCTAATCCCTTTGATTCAACCAGCTTATGAAATGGGGATATTAAGAAGATCACTCTCTTGGCAGGTGACCATGCAGAAGGTGGCTGGCTAGTGAATTTAAGGTGGATTGGAAATCCTCACTAGCTGCCTGGGAGGCAGGAATGATCCTTTGGACATGAGGCTTAAGGCCTTGTAAAGGAAGAATAGGCATGTCTGGACTGGAGTTTGTGTTTATATTTAGGAAAGTTAAACTTTTTAAAGGGGGAGTTTACTTTTTTCTGTAAGGGTGCCCTGGTTTAGGCGCAGCTGCTCACTTACCCTCCCTGCCCCCAGTGGGATGGGGAGAGAATCAGAAGAGCAAAAACGAGAAAACTTGTGGGTTGAGATAAAAACAATTTAATAATTGAAATAAAATAATAATAAATTGTAATGAAAAGGAAAACAACAAGAGAAAGGAAACAAAACCCAGGAAAAAAAAAAAAGTGATGCAACCACTCATCACCCTGACCAACACCCTGCCAGTTCCTGAGCAGCACTCGCTGCCCCCCAGCCAACTCCACCCAGTTTATATACTGAGCGTGACATCATATGGTATGGAATACCCCGTTGGCCAGTTGGGGTCAGCTGTCCTGGCTGTGCCCCCTCCCAACTTCTTGTGCACCTGGCAGATCATGGGAAGCTGAAAAGTCCTTGACTGGTGTTAAGCACTGCTTAGTAACAACTAAAACATCAGTGGGATATCAACATTCTTCTCATCCTAAATCCAAAATGCAGCACTATGCCAGCTGCTAGGAAAAAAAATATTAACTATCCCAGCCAAAATCGGGACAAGGGGGTACCATGTGTTCTGTCTGCTTGCACATGTGTGCTTGTCTCTTCACAATACCTGCTGTTGCAGAAGGTGCTGATTCACAAGCTGTCTTCATGTGAGAAATGAAGTTTTATATGTTTACATATTTCCTTTTTACAACTTCTAAGAATGCTTTGAGAGACACAGAGTACTGATTGATGCAAAGAAAGGGAAAGAAATTAAAAAGTATGGACTGCATGAGCTCTCAGATTCATAGATCTTCTTGGTCTTGTGATTACTAGCCTCTGCTGCTAGTGAGGTTTTCCTTGCAAAACCTCAGTACGTGGCTATGTTGCTTGGAATTCTTGAGGATCAAGTAATTTGGTGAGTATCCTCATTCTTAGCTTGGTGAGAAATCAATCATTTAACAGGTTTTTAAGGTTGTTCTGAAAATAAAGTATTTGCACATAGTGAGTGGGATACTATACTGTGGTACCTATGACTTAATATCTTAGTTTAAAACTTAGTCTTCTCCCTTGCTTGTGTTTTGGGTTGGGTTTGGTTGTTGTTTTTTTTTTCTCCTTTGTATGCTTCCCATACACAGACATGCTAAAGCTACCAGAACGTGTTAGAGAAAGGCTCTTTTTTTCTTTTCTTGAAGTAAAATTAATAAACGCTAGGTGGCAAGCTGTGTGCTGCCCTCATGCGTATATAAAAGAGCTACAGAGACACATTACACCCCAGGAGAACCCAGTACTGTTAAAAGAATAAAAGGGCCTGTGGTGAATGTTACAGAGAAAAAGTGTGACCAATTGTATTCTTCCCTTTGCTATTTCCTCTGCTTGTGCCCTTCAGCTTGATTGCTGTGTCATGGCCTCTGCTCCACAGCTGTACTACAACTTGCTTTCCATACCTGAACTTTTCTTTCCCCCTCCTTGAATCTGGGCAACCATGTGGTTGCACTTTATCCTTTCAAACCTTTTTTCCTGGTGTTCTGCTTTTGACTGGCTTTCCAGTCAAAAGCAGACCTTTGCTCTGTGACTCCTGTCATGTTACAGGGCTTTATGCTTTCTTGTTAGTAACATTAACTCAGTTGGGTTTCAGCATCTGAGTGGCTGTGTAATTTGGCAAACAACCTAGAGGTGTTGGTTTAGATTCTTCCCAGCTACCTGAGGGGATTAAGTTAGGAGCATAGGTGCCCCGGATTGCCTTTATGGTTAATGAGAGAAAGAGACCCAACTAAAGGATGGCTTGGACTCGCATAAAAAGGAGACTTATGTTCTATATTTGCTTCTCACTCTTTTTCCCCTCTTCCTAATGCTATGGCAGACAGCATAATTACTGTTTTTAAGTTGTGTGCCCAAAGCCGTGGGAAAAATTATCTTGACTCCCATGCTTGTGTATTTACTAGTTTACACTGAATCCCTTTAGTATAAGGCATTTCTTGGCTTTTAGCATTTGGTGTCTTGGTGTCTGTTTTGGTTTTTTTTTTCCCTCCCAAGTGTTTTTAACCCAAAGACTCCTAAAAATAATAAAAAAAAAAAATTTTAAAAGTGTATAGTGGTGTAGACAGCTATGTTTGTAGTGAACTCAAATTTATCATAAGCTTTCCAAGTCTTAGTTGCTTTTGATTACATTTTAAGAAAGTAGCTCTTGGGACATCACGACTTAAAAATCACGGATTTTGATCATGTATGTTCTTTAAAAGGGGTATTGGTCCTTCAGTTTTGTGGTGTTATGAGCACAAATGATACGGCACCTATACCAGTCCTCTTTTTCTTTTTTTTTTTTCTTTTTTTGCCTCCTGACAGGCAGTTCTTCAACTTACTTTCTTCAAGAGAATCTAAAAAAGGAAAAAGCAAAGGCTTATGACAGTAATGAACCCGAGAAACCAGCAGGGCATCAGCCGAACATTTATACACCGTTAAAAGGTAACAACACTAGTTTTATCAGTACCTTTTCCATGAGGTAAGAAATGATTGCTTAAATGTGCTAAAATGGCATTCTTTCAGTTCTGTTACAAAAGGGGGAGTTGTTGAATTGAAATCTGAATGGATGAAGAAGTGTTAAACTTTGATAAATACATAGCCATCTGGTTTTTGAAAAGCAAACCGAAAAGATGAGTAATACCATACCTGCTTCAAAACTGTTACCAGTGTGGCTCTTTAATTGCCTGAGGCAAAGCAAAACAAAACTGTTCTTTTTCTAAAAAGATGAGTTACTTTTGACTTTAGCAGAGTGAAGCTGACTATACCAAGTGATTTCAAAGTAAGGGAGCACTTTTTCTGTTCATTGCTGAAGAGTTTTTTTTCTCAATGTGTGTTACAGAAGCAATAGGGAAATACAATGAGGAAGAAAATATGGGATACTTTTTAGCCCAGCAGAAGGTAGCTATGTTTACTACAGGTGGTTTGAAAACATCCAAATAGATACGCTATGTAAGGGAGGTTTTTAGGAGAGCTGGTAGCTGGTCAGAGGGTGAGGTAGTGGCTTGCATTCATTTGGTCAGTAACAGTCCTAATCACACAGTGTTTATGGGAGAGCGCTGAAAGCAATGGTGAGCGCAGACTGGCAGAACACAGACGTGAACCAGGGAGCTGAGGTGTGCACAAGAACACATCTATGTCAGCCTGCTGTTTCCCAGGAGCACATGCAGGCCTTTTGCTTGGGCAGGCAAGAACATGCCTGTGTTTGCAGGAGTCCCCCGGTCTGATAGCGGTGCTGTTAAGGTGGTAGCTTTACACTGTTTATTTTTGGTTTTCCCTCCTGCTAAACCTGCTGAAAAGTTTTGGTTTCAGAAGTGCCAAATCTGGTACTGTCCATTAGCAATAAATTAACACTTCCAATTTCCCATCCTTTGCATTTTATCATTATTGCATCATTACTTTTTTTTAAAGAAAAAACAGGAAGGATAATTTTGTGTCATATTGGGAAAAGTAGGGTGAAGGGCCAAATTAAGCTCTATTAGATAACAGTGGCTTTCTCAATTTACAGAGGGGTCAGAGGCTGTCATGTGGCACAGGCTTGGTTTGGCAGCAGAGCATATACTCCTTCCCTAATAACCTTTGAAGATTTCATAGAGAGCGCTAAAAGTATGTATAGCTTGTCTGTCTTATTCTGACCTCTGATGTGATAACCAAGTTCTTTCATTTGTGCTTTGGTTTCAGAAAGAAAGGCTGACTTCCTGGAGAAAAATCAAGAGCATCACTCAACTACGTCACAGAGTAAGTTGAAAAATAGATACCTAGTCCTTCCCTGTAACTAAGTGAAGAGTACAGAATTCTTTTCCTTTCCTCTGCTTACGGTTTTTCTTGTGCCCTGGGACACTTCATCTGGGAAGGTGGAAAGGGCACTTAGGAGGCAGATCCAAATGGAAGCTGGAGAAGGCAGCACATGCCAGAGCCCTTCTATGATGTTATTCAACTTGCTGACCAAAAAAATGACCCACCTTTTTTTTTTGTTTGTTTGTTCATTTTCTTTTTTGGCTAGGTTAGGAAATGGAGTTGACTCCTGGGACAATCAGTAAGTGCAGAGCATGTACTAGTGGCTTTGGGGGGGTGAGCTGAGGAAGGGAACAAAACCTTCACCTTTTGGTAGCACTGAATGTTGGATGAGTTTGTACACATCACCCTCCCTTCTAGCCTTTCCCTGAGTAATGGTGGCCTGCTATGATTGAATTAGTTGTATTATACTTGTGGAGAGGAACAGCATTTTTCTTTGCTGGGCAAACTCCAGTCTGTTCATCTAACAACCAATTCCTTGTGTTTTAGATTTTTATCTTTGGTTGTTTTTGTGGATTTATTGTTTTGGGTTTCTTTTCCTCTTGGAAGAGTACTTGAAAGAAGAGGGGGGGGGGGAAATGTTCTGAATTCTTAGTAGCCTTCTTAATGTCTCAGTGCTTCTTTCTATCCTGAATGGGTATAGATAAACAAAGTCTTGTAAATAGGAATTCAGTCTGGAGAATCTGGGGCGGTTGTTCGGGGGTTGGGGTTTTTTTTTTGAAAACCACAGTGCCTTCTGGAAGAGAAGCTTGTCTTGTGGTAGCTGTACATCTGTGAAACGCCTTTGAAAAATTAATTGATGCAGGCAGTTCTCCTAGTCTGGTACTTTTTCTTTCCTGTGCTAGAGGTAATGGGTGCTGCAGGAGTGACCAGTTGTGCGTTGGGTGAAGAACTTTGGGAAATCACTTGAAACTCTGAAAGCTCTAAGGTGTCTGCAGAAGTTACACCTTTTGAGTTAGGCAAGACAAATAATTCGCTTGACCATCATGCAAACTGTGCTGTAAATAAGGCAAGAGTCTTGGGTAGGGTAGGATCTGGTTTTAGACTGTTTATTGAAATATTTTTTCCTTTAGGGTATGAATCACAGCCATATCCTAAATATGAAACCTAGTCTCTGCAAACAGAGCTACTTTGTAATATCTTACAGAATTGAGGTGATTTTGATCTGTTAACTATTAGAAGATTTACATAAGCATAGCCAGTTACAAGCTCCATGTCTGTGCCCTATTGGGGCAGGGGGTTGAAATTACAGAGTAGAGTAGCTCATTAAGCCAGTTAAGCTCCAGCTTAAACCAGAGCTGCTTTTAGCACCTTCTGTGATTACATTCATACAGAAACAAGCTCACAGAACTTATTTTAGTGTTCTTGAAATAACTACTGCAGGGTGTGTGTGTTCAATTTATTCTCAATAGTGCCATTGACAGAGTCCTGATTTGGTTATTAAAGAGCCTTCAGCTTTGAACCAGTTGCTGTAGTTCACAAGGAGCCAGAAATTCTCGCGTCTTTTTAATTATCTGACTAAATGCACAAAACATGCTGACCAGTAATTGTACCGTATGCATACTGGTCTCTTGGGAAAGTGTTTGTAGCAGTCTTTTATGGAGAATGTCTCTTGTACTTTGCTGTCTGAGCCCATTTAAATAAATAGACCAAAAGTATATTTTGAAGTTGAAAGCTTGCATTTTGCTTTAAAAGCACAGTTTGCCCCAGGAAACTGACTGCTGATGAAGCAGGCCTGACCCAAGCTAGATGGAGAGGGAATATGAGACTATGTCTTTAACATATCTCTTTGCTTTTGCTACTTATAGCTTGCATATGTTGCTTTTCTAATACGTGTGTTAATTGAGCTTCCATTTTTCTGTCCCTCAAATTCCTGAGCAGAATTGGGAAACTTAATTGGGACATGGGATCCTTGTGCAGAAAACAACAGGTTGTTAAATCTCTGTCATTTTGTTGTCTTGTACTTCAAATGTACAAGACAACTCTGGTTTTATTTGCATAACTTTTTAAGAGTTAAAAGTCTTCAGGAGTAATTTGTGATGGGTTGGGGACTTGTGCTTTTTATGCAAGGTTGTCAAGGTGGCTTCAGAACTGACATTTGGCAAAGAGCACAGGTGGAGAGTTGATCTGCCAGTTGAATGGGACTTCTCAGGCTAGTAATGGCGGTGAACGTGTCTTTTTTTCCTTGTTCAAGACTAGCCTTGCTTGAGCACAGGAGGGTGAATGATGCAGAAAAGAACAGAAAGCCCCATACTAGACACAACCCTACCCGGGATGAGGTCACAGCCTTGCCTTTGCTCCTCCTTAGAGCACTGCATTCGCTTCAGCGAGGTGTTATGCAAGGGTGCTTTGTTAACCTTCCTGTAAGCTTTCTAGAAGTTTGTATGTAAAAGCATAACTAAGAACAGTTTTTCAATGAAAATACTGCAGCTTGGTGATTTCAACTCCCTGCCAAATTCCCTGCTGGAAGACTGATTATACTTGTTGTCTTAGTGTTTTTCTCATGTTGCTTTGTTAATCTCTTAACAGGCAGAAGTAAATTTCGAGATCAGTCCAGTAAAGAGAAGCAGTCACAGCCTTTGGCCAAAAGTAAGACTTCTGCTTTCACTTCTACTTCATGCGTGTGTTACATTTAACCATTTTCATGCCTCTCCAAGTATTATATTTCCTGGTAGCTGGTGTTAAACTGAGGGTCCTTGCCAGAACAGATGACTTGCTTGATAGGGCATGTGTTTTCAGCACTAAGGAAGGAAGGAAGGGTCTTCTATAATAGGTAACATTTCCACCTGAATTTAAGGTTCTTCCATCTGTAGCATTTACAAGATTTGCTGCAAGATTAAAACTGAGGAAGGCCTAGTGGTGTTCTTATTTAACAGCTGTTGTGTTCCTGGCCCGATTAAAGTTGGGATATAAAAAGGTAGCATAAGTTATACAGTTCTTTCTTGTTTCCAGGGAGGTTGGTATATTTCGTCACTAATTTTACTGGGAACTCAGTTGAGCCTTATGCTTGTAGTAGGTCAAACAAGTGTTAATTTAACTGTTAAAATACAAAACCAAATCAAAATATCTGATATTCTATATGTTTCCTGGGCACTGTTTGCTATGTGTACTCTTTTATGAAGCTGACTGATCCACAGACCACAAACGTGTGATAGTGTTGATCACCAGTGTTAGAGGTGCAAATACTGCTGCAGAAACTACTTCTATCCTTATGGGGATAGGGAGGAGAAATAACAACACAGAAAACGTTCTGGTGATGCTAGGTTTTGCATAGGGCTTTTTCTGCAGAGCC